AAACTAGCGAGCTAACTTCCTGTTAACTTCTAACTCCGTTAAATTTAATAAATTCTGTTTTCATGGATGCATAGGTGTAAAACTTAATTGTTACACCTGATAAAGCAGCAATGCTGATCGTTTTATTAAAGATGAAAGAATTTAAACCGTTTTTAACTCTTAAGTGTTCGTTTGACTTTGCCAAAATTGGTTCAAGGTCAGTAAGCACAACCAGAATTCATACATTAGGCACACTCTTGATTTTTGAGAAAATTAAAGGATTTTAAGTGTGCCTTATAGTGTGGAAAACAAGTTATACAGAAGAAAAGAATATATCGTGATATATATCGTTACCGCACATGCTTCAAATTATATCGCGATATGAATTTTAGGCCATATCGCCCAGCCCTACTCAGTACTCATGTGGACGCAAACAGACATCAGTTAGCATTTCCACACAGTGTTTTATTCTGAAATTCAGGTCATATTTACACTTCCTTTGGATAGAAAAAAAAGCTATTAGCATCAGTAAACTCTCAGGTCTGTTTTTAGTATAACAGCTTTTAGTATGACATCTGAAGGAGACATATGACCTTCGACCCTTCGACGTCATCCTGTCAGCCACTTGCAGACCTCTTTCAGCGAGGCTGAAGTCCTGCAGTGACACTAAGTGCAAACATGAACTTTTGTTTTAAATTTATTGTGAAAGATCATTGTTGTTAGCGAGAGCTGGGCTCTGGTTGAAGCTCACTCCAAAGGTTATAGCTCAGGGTGATATTTGAGTCAAAGTGGAGCTGGAAATGTCCTCCAGTGTCTGAGGAACAACATTCAGATGAAATGAGCCAAACTGTGGAGCGTGCCCACATTTCTCCACACAGGACAGCGGTCATGTGCTTCTACTCGCCACATTTGCCTCGCTGTGTACTACGAGTGCAGGTGGACAGGCCGAGACCGTCCAGAGGTGCACGAGGAGACCAGCTTGTTTAAATCAACTTTTACTGTATTTATTTATTTTTATTCACATCTCTACTGTATGTTACAGACACACAGTTAAAGGCAGTAAGCGGCATGCAGGTCAGATGAAGAGGAAAATGAGGAGGAAGACTCACAGGGTTCGAGACGATGAAGGTTTCTTGACTCTCTGCCACTTCCTCCTCTCAAACAGCCTGATGCAACAAACACAC